CTGCTGACTACAGGCAGAGGAAGAGGGAGCCCGAACCCAGAAAGCTAGTGACCAGAGGGCAAAGGTCCAGCCCTGAGCAGGTGCTGCCAGGCTGAGAGTAACAATTCCACCTTTCCTTTGCTCAGGCCAAGGGTGCAGGCCTCCCACTGCCTTTGGGAAGCCTGCAGCAAGTTAACGAGCTGCCGAGTACCGGCTGCTACAGTGGGCGAGCACCGCCAGCAGCACAGAGGCCCTGCTTCTGCAGAGTCCCCTCTTCGGCCACATCCGAACACTGCAGCACGGAATGTCGGCCCGACATACTACCAGCCCTCCCAGAAGGCCAGGCAGAGAGGGGTACTGGCTCCTAACACACCCAGATCGCCTGGGGAGCAGTGCAGTCCTCAATGGGAAGATGTAAGCGAAGAGCCTCTGGCCCTTGCAGTCAGGGCTTCATCTGAAACTGGCTCCAAGGCATGGCCAGGGAAAGGTGGAACCCCAGGCTCTGGGATCAGCTGGGAACAATCATGTCAGATGGAGAGCCCTCCTCAACTGCAGAAGAAAGACCCGGTAACGCTGTGGGAAGCCTTTGCACTGGAGCCACAGGGTCTGGCTTTGAGACCTACTTTACTCCTTAGTGAAGGACCCTGAGAAATCACAACACCTCCGAAACACAGCGAATCATTTCAAGAATGAGACCACTGTGCAACCCAAGGACTGTGAGGCGCACCAAGAACATACATATGCATGTTTTCAGTATATACTGTCATTCCAGTTAAAGAGATTACTCGGGAACCAGCAGTTAGCGTAATGGCTATGTCGCTGGACTCCCACGTAGTCGACCGCGGTTCGTGTCCCGGACCCAGTGGCTTAAATCTCACGCCGGGCGCGTGTGCGTGCGTGCCCAAGATCCCGAGAGGAGAATGGAGGAGAAGGGATTGCGGCGTGACCAACCCCCCTGGGGGGTGATTTCTCGCTTTCTGTCTGTCTCTCTCTGTCTGTCTGGTGAGCGCACGCGCCCTATAGCAAAAACCTCTCCAAAAAAAAAAAAAAAGAAAGAGATTACTTATACCCAGCTACACGCTTGACATCTTGGGTGTCTCAGACACCCCCATTCAGCTTGTCTGGAACTGCTCTATTTCACCAACCCTGGCTGCTCAGTACAACCCACTACCCATTCCCCACCATCAAAGCCCTTACCAAGTCCATTCAGTGAAGCTGCTACAGACGCCATTCCCTCACCACCCTGCAGCCTCCCGCAGAGCCTGTGCTCACCCCAGCGGGCCTCTCCAGGCCCCTCTGCACAGCAAACCTAACGATGTCTCCCCTCCCAGCACCCTCAGCCTGAACACCCTACATCAGGCATCCCAGTGCCGTCAGGATGAGAAAAAGCCTTCCCAGAGCTTGTGAAGCCGGCCAGCCCTGCTCCTCCTGCTCTCCCTGGTCCCTGGTACTTGTCCCTGCTGCCCTGCGGCGCCAGCTCCTCCGTCCGAACATTCCTCCCCTCACCTGGCTAACACCGGATCACTCACCTTCACTAAGGCACAGCGCACACTTCAGTACACAGCACATCATTTACACACACAACCTCTCCTCCCACACGGACCTGGACCTGGACCTGGACCTGGGACGCTCTCAACACCCAGACGTCTCGCTCTTGGCCGCTTTTGGTGTGTACCCTCCCCACCCAGGTAACCACCATCTGACACCCAGCACAATGCCTGCTCACACTGCGGCTGCCGCAGCCCTTCCTTGGGGAAGCGGCCTCTGACCTCACTATAGAAGCCTAACCCATTCATCTTGGGACCTTGTTACACTTGGGTTTGGCATTTGTTGGAGGAATGATTAGACTCCTGCTGGTTCCCTGGGATGCTGTAAGCTCCACAAGGGCAAAGGCCTGTCTGCTTTATTCACCTGTCTCCCTAGCAGCAAAAGCTGGTACCTGTTAGGGGCTTTGACTGCCAGCACTGTTCTAAGCACCTGTAGGAACTAACTCATTTAATCTTCACACCAACCCAAGCAAGCAGGTTGCTTATTATATCCCCGTTTTGCAGGTGGGAAAACAGAAACACAGAAAAGTAAAACACCAGGACCAGCAGATGGCATAATGGTTAAGTCGCCTAACTCCCACGTAATCAACTGCGGTTCAAGTCCCAGACCTAGCAGCTTAAAGTTCATGCCCATTATGTCTGCGTGCATGCCCCCAAATCCCAAGACAATGGAGAAGAGATTGTGGAATAGCCAGCTCTCCGGGGGGTGGGGGGGGTGATTTCTTGCTTTCTGTCTGTCTCTCCAGTGAACGCACATGCCCTATAGCAAAAAATCTCTCTTTGAAAAAAAAAAAAAAAAAAGGAAAGAAAGTAAAATACCTTGCTTAAAGTCATTGAGAGGTGGAAACAGGATTCAAACCCGGGCACTCAGGCTACAGAGCCTGTGTTCTCCACCATCACACTACTGTAACTCTCAGAGGTCACCGAGATAGTTAATGAGTAAGTGCCAAGGTGTTTTAAATGAATAAATTTATAAATGAGCATAGGAGATTCCACTAAAGGAACAAGGGTGCTCCGACATGCCCCCGACAGGCCGAAGAATGAATGAAGATGAGCGGCCATTGAGTCACCCGGACAGACCCGACATTCCATCAGGTGCAAAATATAAGGACTTGCCAATTTCTCCAGTCCACAGAGGAGTGTTCGTGTAGAAATTCCAGTGTAAAGAAAAGATTACTGGGCCAGCCAGACGGCGTGGTGGTTGAGGCAGCTGGCTCCCACATAGCCTACCATGTGGTTCAAGTCCCAGGTCCAGTGACTTGAGAAACAGGCCAGGTGTGTGCGTTTATGCCCAAAACCCTAGAAGGAGAATGGAGAAGGAACTGTGGTGTAGTCACCCCTCCAAGGGTGCTTTCTCACTTTCCCTTTCTCTTTCTTACTGCAAGTACAAAAACAGAAGGAAAAAAAAAAAGACTTACTTTCTGTTTTATTGCAGCCTGATGGAAATGTTCCATTAGATTAGATAAACCCCTCTGCTCTTATTCCATGCCAACCCAGGGATCTTTCTAACTATTTAATATCTCAAGCCCTCCACATGGGAAGAGGATGTTTGGGATGGGACAACAAAAACAAAAATCTTTTGGTTAGAATGTAATAAACTCCATAAGGGACAATGGGTGGCGTGGTGATTAAGGCACTAAACTCCCACATAACAGACCATGGTTCGAGTCCCAGACCTGGTGGCTTGCTTTCTCACTTTCCCTTTCTCTCTGTCTGTGTCTCTCTTGCCAAAATTGAAGAATGATGATAATAAATAAATAAATAAAAGAGAAAGTAATAAACTCCACAATACATGTATAAATGGACACTTGGCTGGTACCCATTTCCTAGAGTCTGATAATCCTGGGGAAACTCATATTCTAGGGCCCACTCCAGAAAACACAGGCCCAGATTTTGGCACCATGGCTACTCCATGCAAGGAGTACCAACTCATGTGGCCAGATTAGGGTGGACACCTTTTTTTTGGGGGGTGGGGGGGAGTTTGCTATAGGACACGTGTGCTCGCCAGAAAGGCAGAGAGAGACAGAGAGGCAGAAACTGAGAAATCACCCCCCAGGGAAGATGGACAAGCAGCAATCCCTTCTCAATCCTCCTCTCGGGATCTTGGGTACGCACGCACACACGCCCAGCGTGAGTTTAAGCCACCGGGTCCAGGACTTTCATAGCGGTTTGCTACATGGGAGTCCAGTGACATAGCCATTACGCCAACAGCTGGTCCCAAAGGGTGGCCACCTTTTAACAGCTTCAGTGTAATTCACCTGCACCCACGGCCCAGAAAACTCCAGAAGAAAACATACGTGGAAACGTTTATTCCCTCACAGGACGCTGTTACCCAGGGCGAAGGGAGCAGCCATGTAGCCCCAGCACCTACTCAGCAAAGACGCCTCCTTGGAACGGCTCCATTCACAGCCCCTGTGCCAAGAGGCCTGGGTGCCACTCACACGAAGTTCTGCGCGATGGCCAGCACCTTGGAATACTCGCCTTCCTTCCGACGCAGGCTGGTGGGGATGGGTGTCTTAATTCGGGTCCCCACAGGGTTTCCATTGTCCTCAATGAGGATCACGTTGTTGGAGTCAAACCTGGGGGTCATCGGGGGACCGGGCATACAGTGCCCCACAATGAGTGCCCTTTTCTTCTGTCCCTTGATGGCCAGTAGGATCTGGTCGCCCACCTTGCCCACCCCATTCTTGGTATAGACGTGGATACACCGAGGAGGGCGGTGATACGGGGTGTTTCCCAGGGCACTGTTGTCCACCACACGCACCCGCGTCATCTTCTGAATTGCACTGAGGCTCCCAGTGATGCTGGTGGAAAAGAGGAGAAAAAACAGCTGTGATTTGTACCTCTCCTGGTCAGAGTGCACAGCCTCTGCCAGGGCAAGGCTGGGGTAGGAGTGCACGTGAGCAACACACACACCCACAGGCAGAGTACGGCCAGGGCCACGGCAGCTGTGGGGCCTGTGAAGACTCCGCTCCACCCCAAACAGTTTCCTTATAATCAAGAGCTTCGGCTGCCAGGCCCTGCTCTCCACTGGGTGGGTTATAAAGAGAACCCAGTTTGCTACAGCAAACTTCACAGCAGCTTTCGCTTCAGGTCTTTGCTTTCTGAAAGGACTCCGAGGACTTAGACTTACGGGAGTCCCTGTGGGCCAGGCCTCACCCACTGCCTAGCCTGCAAAACCTGCTTTCCCAGAATACATTTAGTCCCAGATTTCCCCATCTATGTGTTGCTGGGAAGTGAGGTTAGCTAAGGGAGTCCTGAGATAGTATGTAGCAGAAACTATAAGTCAGACAAAGTAACGAGCTTTTAATACATTTACCCCCACCAGGAAAGAATTCTTTCTTTTTTTTTTGAGAGGTTTTTGCTAGAGGGCCCGTGCGCTCGCCAGACAGACAGAGAGAGACAGAGAGACAGAAAGCGAGAAATCACCCCCCAGGGGGGATGGCCACGCCGCAATCCCTTCTCCTCCATTCTCCTCTCGGGATCTTGAGCATGCACACACACGTGCCCCCCCCAGGGGGGCTGGCCACGCCGCAATCCCTTCTCCTCCATTCTCCTCTCGGGATCTTGAGCATGCACACACACGTGCCCGGTGCGAGTTTTAAGCCACTGGGTCCGGGAAGCGAACCGTGGTCGACTACGTGGGAAAGAATTCTCTTTAAAGAGGACCTATTCAAGGCAGAGAAGGTACCATTAAGCAATGTGATTGCAGGAGGGTTTCTAGTTTCCTGATGCCAGTACTCTAAGTGCTAGCATTCTCCAGGGACTCCCAGGACCTCTTCTGCCATTCTGGGTGCCGACTGCAGGCCGTTTTATCACTCCCACCGGTAAGCGCTGTCTCCAGGTCCACCTCTCTCTGATATCTTACCCCTTGGTTTCCACTACCAGGACTAAGAAATCCTACAGAAACACTAACTCCATAGGTCCCGCACTTCCTGCCTGCACAGCACCTCCAGAAACCCCACCTCCTGAGCCACACCTCTCTCCCCACCAAGTCCCAGGTACCTCCACCCCTACTGACAGCCCCTGCAGCGGCTCACTCTCCTCTCTGCACCGCACTCTGCAACAGTGAGCTCTCTTCAGGAGGTAAAACTGATGCACTCTCCCTGCCTGGAACTGCCCGTGGTGCCCACCATCTATACCATCGGCAACACGGCCTTGGACCTGCCTCTGCGGTCACACACCTACCACTCTCACGTCCCCACTGCCCTGGTGGAGGGAACTTAGAGAGCTCCCCAAACACACCTGCCTCTCGGTCGTCCCTGGGGGTCTTGGCAAGGTCTGCCCCCACCTCCCTTCCAGGAAGGCTGCCTCTCCTCTCCCTGCTTCCTCCTCCATTAGCGGCTCCTGTCTCAGGCTTTCCAGAGCACTCAGCAGACTTGTACACCTGTACTTGTCACATTTTCTTAGAGCTATCTCTTTGCAAGTTTGCTCCTGTGGCCGGCTGCGAGAACTCTTTTCAGGGCAGGAAGCAGTCCTCTCTCATCTCTGTGTAACTAACCCCAGGCACAGTGGGGTGAGATTGGGCCCAACAAGCACAGGGCAGGCCTCCAGTGCACTCTGGCCTGGCTCAGCATCTAAAGGAGGGGAGGCGCCACACTTCCACCTTGCTCAAGGGTTTATTAATAAGCATGTATTAATTTTGTGATTTAAAAGTACATATCCCGTTCTTAAAAGAAGTTTTAGTGTATGAGAAGAGAAGGGCTGAGATGTCAGATTCACAATGAGAGACTTGCAAGCACCAAAAAGTAGTAGCTTCCTAAGTCACTCCCTAACCCACCTGACAGCAGCATCCCCTCCTTACCTGCCCCCTGCCCTGACAAACTCCTCAGCCTGATCCCTTTAGCTATTCCTGACCCTGTGCCCACCTTCCTGAGTCTTTGCTTCTATCCTTGCCCCAGGGGGAAGATCACAAGTTTAAGAACGTGATGGGAAAAGTTACCTGAAACAGCGCTGGCTCAGTGCTCTGCGTGCATGGCTGAAGGAGCCCCGGAGCCCAGGAGAAAAAGCCATGGGTCCCAAGATAGCAAAGCCTGCAGGAGAGGAGGGGAGATTGATTTCCAAGTCAGAGTCCTTACTCAGAGCCGGTTTTCTTTGGGGACTTGTGTGGGAGATGGCGCTTCTAGCACAAGAGCATCAGTCAATAAATAGAATTCTCGGCGGTTGAAAGACACACAGACTAGATGGAGCTCCAGCTCTGACTTTGCTGATTCACGTGCTAACTCGGGTCTGGGGCTGGACGGGCCACAACCCAGTTCTTGCTACAGTAAGACAGTATAGAACACCTTTATCAACACGAGGTCCTTCCTACCAGCAGGAGGAAAGCGCGGCTCTGCACACACCCAGCGAGCGACTGCTCCCAAGTCCTCCCCTGGGGGAGACTGCCCCTGAACGCCCCGCAGACACTGGTGCCTTCTGAAACCAGCACTCTGACGCTCTGAAGCAGGACAGGCCGCACGGGTGGGTATGGATGGTGCAGCGGTGGGATGGTCGCAAGATTTGCTTCCTGAGGCCACCCCATACACCCGGGTGCACACATGGCCCAGGCTGGCTAGGACTGGGTGTGGAGTAAAGCCATGTTGGGGTGCCCTCTCTCTTCAGAAGAAACATAGATAAAAACTTAAAAGGAGGAGGGGGCAACTCTATGGCCTAGGAGTTAAGGGAGCTGGACCCTACATGGCTGACTGGTTCAAGTCCCAGCCCCGGCAGCTCAAACAAAATGTGACATGTGCATGTATGTGTGATCACAAAATCCCTAGAATGGAAATGGAGAAGGAACTGCAACACGACCACACCCCATGGAGGGTGCTTTGTTTCTCTGGTGAGCACACGTACCCTCTGGCAAAGTTAAAAGATAAAAAGCTTAGGGACCAGCAATTGGCATAATGGCTATGTCACTGGACTCCCATGTAGCTAACCGTGATTCGAGTCCCAGACCCGATGGCTTAAACTCATACCAGGCGTGTGTGCATGCGTGCCCAAGATCCCGCGAGGAGAATGAAGAAGGGATTACGGCGTGGTCATACCCCAGGGGGTGATTTCTCGCTTTCTGTCTATTTCTCTGTCTTTCTGGCAAGTACACGCACCCTATAGTAAAAACCTCTCCAAAAAATAAAATTAAATTAATAAAAGCTTAAAAAATAAAAAAGATTATCTAAGTAGCTGCCTAAGTTATCTGTCAGTACATCACCCTCCCTTACATGTAAGAGCAAGGCCCACATGTGGCGGTGGAGTGCTGCTGCAGGACACTCGGCAGTCTCACAGGAACATGCCGGTCTGCCACCCAGGTCCCCCTGAGCATGCAGGCGTGCCTGTGTCCTGGCTGCAGGGAGTGCTGCCATGGGGACCCTGTCCAGAGCGCCTGTCCCCTCCCTCCCTCCTCCTTTCCCATCTCTCTCTTTTGCCCTCTGAGGAAATAAACATACAATAATTTTAAAACATAAATAAGAACATCTGTCTAGCTCAAGGCCAGCAAAGTAGAGCCAAGGCTACCTTTGCCAAGTCACTGACCAAAGTCTGAATTCGGGTCAGTCTCCCAAACAGCACTGTACCTACACCACATGGAAACAGCACCTACACCACACTACAGCTGAGAGCTGCGGTGCAAAATCGAGGTGGAGGTGAACAGCGAACAGCAGCCCAAGACTCCAGTTCACAGAACCTCAACCTTGTTGCTCCCAAGCACTAACAAACATGAAGTTGCCTGCCACACCTGAACACTGTTTTCTTAAGAAGCCTGGGGCAGGGGCCAGCAGATAGTGTAATGGTTATGACAGCCATTTGAGTCCTGGACCTGGTGACTTAAAACTCAAGTCACACATATGTGCATGGGTGCCCAAGATCCCAAGAAGAGAATGGAGAAGGGATTGCAGCATGGCCATCCCCCTGGGGGGGATTTCTCCCTCTCTGACGAACACATGTGTCCTATAGCAAAAAAAATCTCCTTTATTTTTTTTTTTTTAAACATTGTCCAGGACTCGAACCGCAGTCAGCCATGTGGGAATCCAGATGCCTTAACCTTCACGCCACCTGCGGGTGCAAAAAAAATCTCTCTTTAAAAAAAAAAGAAAAAAAGAAGCCTGGGGGCAGGGGCCTGCAGGTAGCATGGTGGTTGAGGTGCTGGATCCCACATGGCCAACTTTGCGGTTCCAGACTGGTGGCCTGAAAACACAGGCATGTGTGTGTGTGCGTGCCCAGAGTCCCAAGAGAAGAATAGAGGAGGGACTGTGGAACGGCCCTCTCCTCTGGTGTGTGATTTCTCACTTTCCTCCTGTCTCTGCCTCTGTCTCTCTCCAGCCAAGGGTACGGGCACGCACTCCAGCAAACAATCTAAAAAAGAAAAGAAAGCCGGGGCAGCTGGGGATTCCCGCGGGAAGACTGCCTGCTCGTCACCCAAGTATTTGGCCGCAGAGGGCCTCGTTCGAGAGCTTTGCTGAGAAAAGCCTCTACACTGCAGTATTTACACACAGCTCTGCCTTGCGCAAGTTCAAAGCACCTCAGATAAGGTTTTATTTAAAAGGGTGGAAGGAAATCCACTATTTACTTCCCCAGGAATACCTAGATACTCCATAAATGTTTATTAACTCTAGTTTCAACCTCAAACTGACTCCTAAGCATTTTCCTTAAAGATAACCTGTAGAGCAATGGTCAAAACCTATGATCAGAAAATTAGATGCAGGGACCAGCAGTTAGCGTAATGGCTATGTCGCTGGACTCCCATGTAGTCGACTGCAGTTCAAGTCCCGGACCCGGCGGCTTAAACTCATGCTGGGTGCATGTACGTGCGTGCCCAAGATCCCAAGAGGAGAATGGAGGAGAAAGGATTGCAGCGTGGCCATCCCCACTGGGGGGTGATTTCTTGCTTTCTATCTCTCTGTCTCTCTCTGTCTTTCTGGCGAGCGCACGTGCCCTATGGCAAAAACCTCTCCAAAAAAAAAAAAAAAGAAAATTTGATGCAAAAGCAGCTAATGCATAAAACCGACACTCACAGACTACCAGATGAGGCCAGCTTTCCTCTACCTAGCAGGGTGACGGGACAAGCAGCACCGCTGAGCTCCAGCTTCCTTCTGCAGCCCCGGGACACACCAGGCCTGCTCAGAGGTGGCTGTGTGGAGTTGGGGGCCAAGCCGAGGAGCAGCAATAGGGCCTGCGTGCCCCAGCACGGCTGCCTTCACCCTCGTCACTCACAGTACACTTCCCGTACTAGGAAACTGAGGTACAGTGACCCCAGTGGGGGCCCCACAACCAGTCAAGGGCAGAACCAGAATCAGAAGTGGACCCAGTTTTGGTTCAAGGCCATTCCCAGTGTTCTCAGCAGCCTCGTGAGGCAGCATGAAGCTCACTTCACACAGGGGAGCTCTGGGTGTCAAGCAGCTTTGAGGGTCACCTGGTCTTTCTGCTTTCTTTCTTTATGAACATTTTTATGGAGCGGGTACAGGTATCAGGTCCTTGACTAAGAGATTTACATAACCATCTCATTTAAGCCTCACAAAAACTCTTTAAAGTGGGTACTATTATTAGCCTTGTCATACAGAAGAAATGAGGCCCAGAGAGGTTAACTAATTCGCTCAAGGTCACACAGCTAGAAGTGACAAGGCTAAAATTTGAACCACAGTTGGCTTCCTGAACCCATGCTCTTACTCAACAGAGTATAAACATGGTAACTCATACTTAAATATGAATTATTTTCTCTTTTTAAAAATTATTTTCACTTTATTTATGTACTTATTTCAATCTGACCAGAGAAGGACAGAGTGAGAGAGTGAGAATGAGAGTGAGAGAGAGAGAGACACACACAAAATGAGAAAGCAAGCCACGCGATCCAGGATTTGAACCACATTCAGCCACGTAGGGGTCCAGCGCCCTTAACCACCACATCGCCTGCTGGCCCTAAATATTAATATTTTCCAACCATTAAATCATGCTGGCTCCACCAAAAACACTGACATCACCACACACTTTACTCCACACTAACGTGTGCCTAATGAGTCAACTGAAATGCAAACACCGGTGAAAACTACTCAGCTGTAATCCAGTTTACATTGTGGAGACAATCTAGTGTACAGCAAAAGAACTCCATACTTGGGGCCAGCCAGCCGTGGCGTCCACTGCACGGTTTGAGTCCCAAACCCAGCAGCTTGAAAAACATACTGGGCGCATGTGCATGCCTGCCCAAAGTCCTGAGAGGAGAACGGAGGAGAGGCTGTTGTATCCTCACTGGGGGTGCTTTCTCACTTCCTTTCTCCCTTCCCCTCTCACATAAGTGCACACCTGAGGCAAAAAAAAAAAAAAAAAATTCAGGAGCCAGCAGGTGGCACGGTGGTTAGGATACCAGACTTTCACATGGCTGACCATTGTTTGAGTCCTGGTCCTGGTGGGTTGATTTCTCACTTTCCCTCTCTCTCTCTCTCTTTCTCTCTCCCTGTGATCATGTGTGCCCTGTAGCAAGTTAAAAAATAATGATGATGATAAACAAAATTAAACAATTAATTATTTTTAAAAAACCAAAAAACTCCATACTCAGCAATAAATAAAAATTGCTCACCCACTAAACAACAATAGCAACGACATCAAAAAAAAAAAAAAAAGGGACCAGCAGTTAGAGTAATGGCTATGTCGCTGGACTCCCACGTAGTCGAATGCAGTTTGCATCCCGGACCTGGACGCGTGTGCGTGCATAAGATCTCGAGAGGAGAACGGAGGAGAAGGGACTGCGGCGTGGCCATCCCCTCCGGGGGGTGATTTCTCGCTTTTTGTCTCTCGGTCTCTGTCTGTCTGGCAAGTGCACGTGCCCTATAGCAAAAACCTCTCCAAAAAAAAAAAAAAAAAAAAAAACAGAGCTCTAAGAGCAGTCCTGGTCCACACTGCTGTTGCCTCCAGTCCCAGCTAAGAGCTTTCCTGTCTGGAGCTGGTGCGGCCTTGGCCTCACTGCCTGGGAGAAAAGAGGCTCCTCAGCTCCTCCAGAGCCCTCAACAGTAACCGGCACACTACACTCAGCCACCCCGCGGGGCCCTCCACAGTGACCTGTCCGCTC